CAGAAGTTCCACATGAACTTAAGGAAAAATTTCTTGACAGTGAGGGTGACAGAGCACTGGAACAGGCTGCCCAGAGAGGTTGTGGAGTCTCCTTCTCTGGAGATCTTCAAAACCCGCTTGGATGCAGTCCTGTGCCACGTGCTCTAGGTGTCCCTGCGTATGCAGGGAGGTTGGACTAGATGATCTCTAGAGGTCCCTTCCAACCCTAAGCATTCTATGATTCTATGATTCTAAGACCTAAGAATGTTCAGTATGTGTATGCTTTTATATTTCCGTATGTGCTAGCCCATTTGTTTAGCAGTCCAGCTGTGTTACCCTTCCATTTTCTTTTCACATAGGGCAGGAACCCCATGACAGTGCTTTTTTTGGTAATCATTGCAAAAATAGCTGACTTCAGCCAATTAAGTGGCTACTGGTGTAGAACTGGGGGGGGAAAAAAAAAAAAAAAGTGTTTCGTGTGTCCCTTGGGATTTTCTGTGCCCCAGGTACAAAGGCTTGTGGAGCCTAATGGTTGCTGCTATAACTGAAACATCATTGCACTTTGTTTTCCAAACCCATACTTGTCTCTGCTGTGTTTTCGGTATTAAGGTTGTGTGCATTCTCCAAGCCTAGCTTTTTGGCATTCGGAGAGGATGCTGGAATTCCAGAATGTTGCACTGTGTGTAATTGATAACGATTGATAAAAGACAGCTAGCACCTGCAAGGCCTTGCAAACAGGCTTCCAAGGAGTTTAAGAAAGGGAGCTGCAGAAATTATTTTTTTTCCATTCTGCAAAGGTTGATTTGTGTTTCTCTCTTTGTACCTTCAAAGTGCGGATTAGTATTGTTTACACAGACAGAAGGCCTACATTCACGATAATTAATGGTGGGGGGGAAGGTCTTGAAATCTATTACATCTAGCACATTGCCAGACTAAATTACTCAACCGGCTGCCAAATAGAATTGCTAAGGTCATTTTCCTTGCATCTTACCTACTGAACTATGTTACTTAGGGTCACTGCTTGTTTAACTATGACTTGCTTCCCTGGGAGTCTGGCTGAATTTCCTTAGCTTAACCTTAAATTTAATTAAAAACAAAACAAACCCATTATTTTCTTCCTTCTAGCTCAGTTTACTAATCTCTGAGCTATGGCTTACTCTTGAATTTAAATTATTTGTGATTTAATTTTATTCAAATCTCATGGAATGGAGTAAATGCATGATTGGAAGAGAGTAAAGAAGATGGAGCCAGACTGAATGGTTGAGGAGTGAAAAGACAAGAGACAATGCGCACAAACAGAAATGCAGAAAATACTGTTTGAGCAGAAATAAAATACTGTATAGGAGCAGGTTGTCCAGCGAGGTTCGGAAGCCTTCGTCTGTATTCAGCACCTAACTGGACACAATCTGGAGCAATCTGCTATATCTGACTGCACTTTGAAGGGTTGTTGAGCTAGATAACCTCCACCTCTCAGTGTGTCTGTGGTTCAGCTTTAGTCGTATTGTAAAGCACTTACTTGCCTCGGTGTAAGTCTTTTATAAAACACTTAAAACACAAAATTAAAGATGAGCCTGCTACTTGCAGAATTTTACTGATGTGTGAACTGTTTTAGCAGAGTTTAAAACTGAGCTTAATTTCAGCCCTCCACCAAAATGCTTTGTCTTATGCTGCAGTATCAGAAAGAGGACTTAGTGGCAGCTTGACCTCTTAGGTGTAAACTAACAGGAGTATATCATGAAGCATTTACACAGGCAATGTCCTGCACTTAACTAATGCTTTCGCAAAATACCTCACCTCACAGGAAACTTGCTCCTGGAAACACACTGAAATGTACTGCTCCTTTGGAAATAGGGTTCTATGGACCAGTGTCTCCACAGACAGTATTTTATATGCACCAGAAACTTAAGCCCTGAAAAAAGTGTATCTTCATACACACCGTGAAAGAACATTTATGTAAAGTTTCAGCCTATGTTGATTCAGTTATGAAGCACCTGTCTTAATTCAGTTCTCTCTATAGCCTCCTATGTTTGTGTCACCTGTTCAGGTGTTAGTCACGTAACTGATTAATAAAGTTCTGAAAATGAATTTCTTAGCATTTTTTCAACCATGATGTCTACGATAAAAGATAGAATAAATGAACAGAAGATAAAAGGGAGGATTAGAGAAAGAGTCGGGGTTTAAAAAAACTTTGATTAGCAAAGTAGCCATGCATTGGTGAACAAAAGTAAAATTGTTTTCTGATTTCCTGGTGACGTTACGGATATCTTTGGCAGAATTAAAAACATGGGAATTAAGTGTACGTGTAGCAGATTTTTGCACTGAAATGAAATGTAAGCATATCACTGGTAACAATGCAAAAGAAAATTCCTAAAAAAAAATGGGAAGGGGTGGGAGAGGGGGACAAGATTAGTGATATCCAACAAAATTTGTCAACAATCTCTGGTCTGCCATTTTGCCCCTTACCTACTGTTGTTATAAAGAGTCACCTTTAAGAAGCTGAAAAGTAATGTAGCCCAGATCTCATGTAAGCATCCAGGCTCATTATTCTTAAACATAAGGAGTGGAATAGTTTTGTGCATGTTTTTCTTTTAAAAGCAGACTCCTGATTTTGATTTCTATATTAATTTAGAAAGCGTGTGCCAAGAGTAAAATTTGTTTCACATTTCTTTCAAATTCAAATTAAATTCTTTCACCCCCAACCAAAGAATTTGCAAAAAAAAAATAAAAAAAAAAAGTGCCTGGGTGATTTTATCGTGACTGAATATCATCCTGATCAAAGGCCAAATCTCTTTAGTATTGAAAGGAAGTAAAAACAAGAATTAAAAACTTTCTCTGAATACTGGTGGAGAGCAATGTTCTCCTCTTTCTTTCTCTTGCAAGGAAATGCTATAAAGAAGCCATTTATACAGCCAGGGTAATTCTTATCTCTACTCACTGACCGGCTACGTCATTGATTTTACCTTAACACTCAGGTCCGACCTTTCTGATTTGATTCAGTGGAGCCATGTGCCGTTAGAAGCCTGGTGAATGATTGCTTCCTGGGGAGAGACGTGCAGCCTGCCTAAGATAGCAGTTATCTCCTTGATATAGCACCCCTCTCCTTCCCATCTGTCATCATTGACTGTATAGGGGGACTTTGCTTCTAGCTTGCTGCAGCAGAATAAATGAAGGTAACATAAATAGTTAATATTAGGGGTTTTTTGCTTGTTTGTTTTGGGGTTTTTTATTTTCTCCCCCCCTCCCCCCCCCCCTTTTTTTTTTTTTTGAACTGTAAGGAGACACTCTAGAGCAAAGGGAAAAGAGGAGGCTTAACTGAGGTTAAAAGTGAAATGTAGCTGCCTGGCTATAGGGCTGTACATAAGTGCTTGCCAGCATTAATTTCTTTGAAAAAAAAACATCCCTGGAGTTAAAAAACACAAGTGCACTTTGCACAACCGATGTAAAAGTTAGCAGATGTTTGGAGTGTGTTTGGAAGATTAACAGCATCATCATTTTTCTCACCCTGTGGGTCCTCCCTATAAAGTGGTGTACTTGTGACATGTCAGGCTGTGTGTTTTATAATTGAGCTGTTATGCCAGCGGGCCACGCTGAAAGGTGTTACATCACTGACATCTTTTTCATCCTACTGTGCTTTGATCTCCTGCTATAAAGTGAAAGATTTAACAGTGGAAAGTTCTGAATATGGGAGATGAATTTTGCTAATCCCCTTTTCATAATCCTTATGAAAAATGTCTTTCCTTATCAGTCAAAAAATTTGATAGCTGTTGTGTTTAGAAAGTCTCATACTGGCAGGATTGCAAACTATGGAGTCATGGATATGAAATATTTTACCAACATGTTTTAAAATGTTATTGTAAGCACTTTAGAATAAATGGATGAAGATATTTTATTATTTATGTTTTATTTTCTCATTGAAGTGCAAAAAATAGTCGTTTGCAAGAGACCACTGTGCACTGGTAGAAATTTGCTATACTTCTTGGTGTTAGTTGCTCTATTTTGATTTCATGTTACTGAAATTCAGTGAAACATTCAAATATGCTGATTCCAAACATTACATAGTGCTGAAACAAAAGGTGAAAAGTATTGGCTCACAGTATGCACAAGTTGTAGATTTTGGAACTGTTTTGACAGTAATGATAGCAACCTCTGTGCAGCAGGCGGTTTTCAGAGTTTGGGGAAAAAACACTCTAACATAATTTAGAAAAGAGCAAGTGCCTTTTTTTGCCATTGGATGAAATTTGCACTTACCTCATCCTGAAGAACTCAGAAAGGTTACTGCAGTTACCCAGGGATATTGTCTAGCAGAATCTTGCCAAAATCTTGTGTTAGTTCAGCTCCCTGTGTCTCTGGAAAAAGCTGCTTGCAGTACATTGTGACCACTGATTAGCACCATAAAAATTATTCACCAGGTCTGATTATATTTTCTTTATCTCTTTTCTTTACAATAGCTTTGGGCCAAATCATGCTGTATGTTGATGGTATGAATGGAGTAATAAATCATAATGAAACTATCCAGTGGCTATACACTCTTATTGGGTCGAAGGTAAGACATTCTCCTGTATTCTTGTTTGCAGTGTTTTTAAATGGATTTTATTTGTATTACATATGCATTTATGGTTTAAACACACAGTGTCTTAGGCTCTAAATGATTACACAGCTTTACAGAGAAACCTGGGCACAGTTGGCTGTTATTTCTTTTATAGTACTTTATGATGTTGGCGCATACTTTGTTTTCAAAAGCAAAGAGTAGCCCATGTTATTGTCTCTGCTGTCATTGCAGTTGCCAACTAAGAAAATTACTTTGTCTTGCAGTTGTAGTTTCCAGGATGCTATTTGGAAATGGAATTTGTTGTGCATTTTGCCTTGCTTTTTTCTCCCCCTTTCAGTTCTACAAACACAAATTGTTTTCTATAGTTTCTTTTCCATACAACTTGACAAGAGAGGGGGAAGAGAACTAGACAAAGGGGCAAAAGCTTCTGCCTATAGGGCACTGAAAGATGAAGCCTGGTGGCTGTCAGTAGAGCACACTTCGCTGAACCCTGTGTTCAAGGAGGGAACAACTGAAGACATGTATCAAAATATAGGTTACTCGGGTTGTCTGACACAGTGGAACAGTAGGTTATATATATTTTGCACAACCCACTTTCTAAGGACATCTATCCTGGAGGTTGAGAAGGAAACAGATGATAACCCTGAAGGGTTATATGTAAGGATCTTACTACAAAAGGTTACAGGTAGGTAGAACCATAATTTGTACTATTTTACAACATGTTTTTCTCAAATTTGAGGACCTTCATTAAGGTCTACAGCGACTCTTGTTATCTAGACCTGCTTAGGACAGACCTGAATGACAGAATAGCTCAAAGAGTCTATGTTGGCTATTATTAACAACTTCTCTTCCATAATCAGTGGAGGTAAATCCATAATTAGGAATACCAGGAAACGGTCCCTGGATAATGTAGTGACATAAGGTCATAGGGATATTGCTGCTTTTATTTTTCTTTTTTTTTCCCCTTCCCATTTGAAATACCTTTCATAACAGAAAAGAGAGTGCAGTGTCCCAAGGACTTTTTGTAGCACACTACAGAGTATTTGCCACAATGTGCGATTTTTACCACTGCAGAAGATCAAGTGAAAAGACAGATGCAGCAATCTTACAAGAACTGTTTTATTCTGGGATGACTGATGATATTGGTCGATAAGTAAAAAGAAGGTGATAATTATGGTTATCAAATCCCACGTATTTAGCGGTGCATGTTTGGGAGAAGATTAGGAGAAGATATTCCCTCACATAAAGTCTTTCACTGTTGGCCAGGTGTTACACTGCGCATTTTGCCTTCTTGAAACACAGAAAGTTAGCCACAATTGGAAGAAAAAAATCATGTCAAGAGAGATAAGTGGTTTGCTTGGTATGGACCCTCAGTTTCTATGGAGTAGATGAGGGAAGCAAGCAAAAACTGGAAAAAGAAAGAAAAGAAAAAGAAACATGGCTGTATTACTACCTTGAACATTAAATTCTGCCTAGTTTTTCTCGACCAAAGTACTTTAACTCTCCTTAAGCTCCTGTCTCCCTCCCCCATAGTCAGCCCAAATGATCATCTCCATATCCTAGCTCCGTGCTTGCAGCTAAGGAACGCAGGCAATGGGCTTTGAATAGTTGGGTTTCAGGTAGCATCAAAGTTACTTTTTCATTATTATTTGACTGTGTTGGAAGAGAGCTAAGTCCTCATCTGTGTGCCAAAATGTAATCAAAAGTATGACAAGCTTACTATCAGAATGCATGGTGTGACAGCTGCTTTATGCCCTTAACGGTGGCTTTGACTTTCTATGAAAATTGAATCCGTGGAATTTGCAACACACCTATAGTGTAATTTGCAGCCCTGCTATGCTGGTTCTTTCCCTGCAGCCATGAAGGGGAAAAATCTGTGAACGCTGGTGAACAAAAAAGAACAGTAAAATTGCCATTTAAGTACAAGGACAAATCTCTGTAAGAAGAAACAGAAGGTATACAATCACTCAGCTACTGCAGCTGTGGCTGGACACATAGTTTCTTCTCAAAAACTCTGAAGAGATTTAATAAACTCAGCAGCAGAGATGGTTGAATCTATTCTGCTACAGATTTTTTCTGACAAATTTTGTACTAATTCTGATTATTTACTGTTCCTTGCTCTGCTTTGTATGTATAGGGCTGCTGGCTCTTTCTCCATTGCTTACTTAGATTAGTATACTATTGCATGTGCTTTTCCACACCAGGACACACATTCAGCAGAGGACCTTAGGGTTGTCACATTCAGCCATGCAGGAGCTATTATTTTGGTACTTGCCTCCAAGTTCACTCTAGGCACTTAACTGTGGTTTCTGCACACAGACAGTGGAACAGAGGAGAGAATTAGAAGTGAGAATTGGCCTGAAAGAAGGAACATAAATGATTTAAGGAAGGCCCTGTCTCGATGGTGGGCATTATATTCTGCAATCTTGTTCACTCTTGTTAATTCTGCTATGGGTTTAACCCTCAAAGCATCAATAGATGTTTATATAGATGTTTTAGGAGAAAGTGCTTGGTAATTTTAACAGTGTTGTGAAAATTTGCTCTGAACTCAGTTACTAGGAAGATGGTTGAAATTGTAGCAGCAGCAGCTTCACTGATAGTGCTGCTCTTTCACTCGGTAAATGCACCTCTGGTGTCAGGGTGAGGAGCTGAAAAGAGAGGAGAAGGTTAATCTTAGATTAATCTTCACATTCGTTAGTGGCAGAAAAGGGTGCTAAACTGGAAAGAGGTTAACAGCACTATTGGTCTGCTGTGCTATTTAAAGGGGAGAGCATCTGGCACCAAACCTCAAACTCATAGGACCACTGCCTTCCCTTGCAAGATGTCCAGCGACCGTGTGACCATGGCTGCGGGATTTCCATTCTGCAGACTGGCTGTAGTTCCCTTTCCAATCATCAGCTGCTCATAGATTCCTGGCGTAGAGCATTTAGCTCATACTCCCAATTAAAATGTGTATCACTACTATTTCATCATTAGTTATAAAGGCAGCAATTCAGCAGTTTGTTGAACAAAGCATTCAAGTATGTACTTAATTGTAGGTGTATGGTTACACTCTGTTGGGTTCAAGGGATCTTTAATCCATAACTGAAGTCAGCAGTATACCACTGCAGTAGTACACAAGTGGGGTCTGATCATATTATACAGACTGAAAGTTATGTATATAGGAAATATATATGTCAACCAAATTTTTCTTTCTCATTCATTGGTAGCCTGGAACATGGATTCAAGACATTTTGATTTAACCCTCTCTGTTCCCAACAAAAAGAAAAAAAAAAAAGAGTCAATGAATTCTACCCAACACTGCTTTCAGAATTTCTTAACTAATAAAAAAATACATACATAAATACATAAACTAACTCATTAAGGGTCTTGCCATAACTGCAGTAATGTAAATCTCAGTTTAACTTCGTAGCATCTCTGCTATGAAGAAATGATACTCTACCACTTTCTTGGGGCTCCTGCTTGCCGTTTATTTGGTGTTGCTGAGGTTAGAAATAAGTTTTTTTGTCAAATTGTAAGTTATTTTTAGCCTGATTTTAGAGGAGCCTGGGAATTTACATTCACACTGACAGCTGGTGCCACAGAACTCCATGTTGGATGTTCCCTGGTTGAGTCCCTGGGTGCTATGGACATCAGGAAGCATTGGGAAATTTCTCTTATCCAAAACAAGGGACCCCAGATGAACAACATGCTCAGCTTTGCTGAATCCTTTTAATGCATTTTTTTCATCTGCTAGTGTGCATAGGTTAATAACTTCCAAGTGCATCTGTGTTCACCCGAATTGTTAATAGAAAAGTATCTAATGACCTACCCAATTTCAGTGCCTCTCCAGGATTAGTTTATTTGTGTTCACAGCAAGGTATCTGAGCAAAAGCTCTAGAGCAAAACCAAGTGTGCACGTTGTCCACTAGAGGAAGCAAAAGCCCTTTGGCATTGCAAACCCACAGGCCTTTGCTGTTTTGCACTCAGCTGGATGTGTTAGGCATGAAGTATTCCAAAACTGCAGTCTAGTTTCACCTTCCCCCACTGCCCTCATTTCTGAGTGCTACTGATAATGATTATTTTTTCCCATTTGATGATCCAGGCTGTTCTAATTTTCTGCAGGATAACTAAAGCCCCTTTTTGGCATTGCTTTCGATGGAAAGTAATCCATTTTCAAAGTGATGCTGGGTAACCCCAGAAGACCGGGTGGAATGCTAGGCTTCGGCTGATACAACAAGGTTGATTAAAGATTCCTATCTCACATATTGTTTTAATTTTTTTTTCTACTTTTCTTCTGTCTGGGTCTGATATTGCAAAGTTAAATAAAGCTTTAGTGTGAGAATTTGTTTGTTCCAAGACAAAAAAATGTGTTTCTGAAAGAAAACAGTTCAGTACAGCTTTTTTTCCCTGATACAGTTTTAATGACATGTCACTACATTAACACTGCTTTTAGTTCATTTCAGAAGAAATTTGAGAGAAACAATATTCTTAGTCACGTACACTATTAACCTTATTTTTACAAGCAAATAAGTTAAAGTATATAGAGATAAATACCTAATATAAGTACTTGATTAAATTGGTTGCTGTTCCATAGATCATTTACACATGTGCACAACTGAAGTCATATGGTATTCTCTGCTCTGCTTATGACTTGAACTTGGTCTTTCCTTTTTCTCAAGAAATTTCTCATCAGAACTTATGAAAATAGATGTTTAAATGGATCTGGACATACATAGCAACATGTGATTTATAGTCATGGAGAAAGTTACAGTTGAAAGGGAATTAAAGATATGAATAGGCCTAGAAATAGGATCTCACCACCAGATATTGGATAGTAAAATCTCTTGACAAGGTTCTTGTAAATCTGATGCGTTAGTAAATCTGATATATTTGTATCTCATTTTTCTGATAAAATGTTATGTATGCTTATAGATGGCCTATCTTGAATGAGCATTGGCTGGCTGATGAAGTGACACATGCTTAGCAATTACGCTGCAGCATTATCTTGTGCT